ACCCGAGTTACCAGGCCAATCTGAGAAATAGACTAACCACAATCCGATAGAGCAGGGAGCTACAAACAAATAGCTCCCTGAGTAGAGGGACTGTGGGCTAACATACCAGACTATGATCATGTTCTTACCAAATACCTCGGGTCAAATCATGGACGTACTACCAGTACATCCATGGTCAAATTCAGTGGCATAGAAGACGGAAGCTGAGATTTATTGGGTGGAGTTATACAGCAAGGGGTGACAGCTGTCACTTTGTATTCATCATCAAAAGGAAAAGGAAACACAAATATCAAAGTTTAGTTCACCTGGTCTTACGATCAGAGGTCTTTCCTTCACTGTCATTGGGTAATCGTGAACCCCGAAACTCGGATCGCCACCAGGAAGTCGTTTCAGTTGCGTTGATACGGAAGACGATGTCTGCTGAAAACCCAAACCGACATACGAAATCCACTCGCTGGGGATGACGGACACCAAAAGGGTGAAGGACATCCCACATAGGAACACTAATATGAAAGTAAACGTCGGAAACATCGTAGTAATTTTCGATTCATTTTTAAGATTACACCACCAGGTAGAAATCTGAATAGACAACATAACACCACCATTCACCTTCGCCTCACCCGACATTTCCAACGAAAGTGAGTGCTATTAGTAGTAGTACGGAATGAATACTATCCTGTTGTTAAGTCAGACGATTGTCAGTAATATTTTTTAATTATGTTTTTCAACAAATACTCTTATCTGTATTTTACAGTATAAACGTTAATTTTGTGCTTAAAAATAAATAAAAGAAAAGAATTGTTGAAAGATGTCTATGAAACACCGCGCTAGAAGTATAGCGCTAGTGGACCACTTCACTGAGCACAGTTGGCGCTATGTGATTGGTTCAAATTTGACCTCGGATGTAAACAGATGATTGACCTCACGCAACCAACACGTGTGGAAGTACATCTTATGATCGCTCGTATAATCTATAAAAACAACGCTATTTACAACAAAAAGACATGATTTGAATGTTCACGTATAATTTTGACGATAATGGCTCTCTTTACTATAAACAGGTAAGCTACCAACGTCATAAAATATCGCATATGTGTAATATAATACTGCTGATGCGCATTCCAAAGTGTAGCTGTTTCACGTGTGTTTCATCACTGTCATCGTGTTGAGGGACGGTAGTTTTATGTATGTACTAAAAGTACCAATGAGAAAATCAATTTAACAACGATCTTGGATTGTCAATCGTGTCTTATTTTCTCCAGCTAGACAAACAGACTTTTGTACTGCTACATTGAACTTCGTGCAAATGTATATTACGCCTTACCAAGGATGTTTAAAAATGCATGTGTATGCAACTTTGATATCTATCTCAGAATACCTATGTAAATAGCCTAGTTTTGCGTCTTCAATGCTCTACTTGATATTACGATGCTACCCCAATCATCAAAATGAAATCATGGAGCCACGAAACCATGACTACCGGTACTATGCACATGTGTACTGTGATATGTGATGAAGGTCTTATAAGATGTCACATGTTTCATGAGCTCATGAATTACACATATAGGATGACAGACCACTGTGGACTTTTAAACAGAAATTAGTGTAGTTATAGATAATCCAAAATAACAAAAATGCAACATGTATCTATACCTAACAAATAAGCAAGGACTCAACTTGAAGGAGTTATAAAAAGGCACACACAATTACATGTGTGTATTTCATTCTAATCTGTGTTCATATATTTGTAACATTTTCTGCATCTGATTTAATGACTCATCAATATTGTGATACATTTCAGGTATATGGGAGAAGAGACGGATAGTCAGTTGTCACCAGATATCCTATTATCGAAATTACATCAGAAAGCAGAGCAGAGAAAATCACAAAAGTTAAAAAGACAATCAACTGAAAAAACTATCCATCTAGAAAAAAAAGAAGTGTGTGTCTTGGATGATGTATCTGGAGAAAAAAGTAATGATAAAAAGAAGTTAAAAAGGAGACAAAAGGAAAAGGGTGGTGATGATGGTGAAATCAATGAAGAGTGTGATATTTCTGGAGATGATGTCTTGGTGTCTCCGCATAAAAAACAGAAAATAGCATCACATAAGAAACATGACATTTCTGATGGCTTTAAAACTGTGGATACTATCAAAATCCAAAAAACTGCAAAAAAGAGAGAAAAAAAGTTGCAAACCCAAGATGTGATTGATGCCAGTATTGAAAAAGATGAGACAGCAATAAACAATGTCACAATTAATGAAGATGGAGATATAGAAGAAGACAAACTGAATGTCAATAAAATTGATAAGAAAAAAAGGAAAAAAAAGAAAAAATTCCAAACAATAGAAACTGAAATATCAAAGGTAGATAGAAATGAAGTGGTGGAGAAGCCAACAGAAAAACACAAAAAGAAGAAAACTGTCACTGAAAAGGAATGCAAAAAAGATGAACTGTCTGTTGTTCATGACGATGATGATGATGATGATGATGATGATGATGATGATAAGGAAGGTGATGAAAAAGAGGGTAGTCAGGATGATGTTACAGACAAATCAGGTTTCGTCATCCTTGGTGACATTGAGAATCAACAAGAGGAGAAAGTAAGATCAATTTTTTTAAAAACTGCATAGTTCTAATAAATTAATTTGTTCCTGGTCATGCAAGACTTCAACACTTGCATATGTAGTTGGTCAGATGTTTGATGTACACCAGCAGCCAGCTGAATCACTGTATGCAATAATGCTTGCAAGCTTTCACAATTTCAAAAGCTCTAGAAGGCCTTGGAAACAGTAAAGCATAATATATTCTCTGTTCGCAGGTGCACAGAGTCCTGCCTGATTGGTTGGCAAATCCTTCAATTATTGACAATGACATAAGTAAAAATACAACCAGTGTAGATGAGTTGTCAGGATTGAATCAGAAAATAGTGAGCCGACTAAAAGAAGGTGGAATCACACATTTCTTTCCAGGTTGGTAATTTTTTTTTTCATTTGTGATTATTAGTTTGAAAAGTTAATTTTTACTCTTCCATGCATGCACTCAAAAAAGGAAATATAAAATGAGGGTTAGCAACTCAGACATCCAATAAGGTGATATGCAATGAAGTGTCAATTGGAAAGCTTCAATTTTGTGATCAGAAATGAGCAAGATTAAAATACTGTAAAACATGTTGTAAAAGCGACATACTATTTAAGTGAATTGTGGTAAAATGACATAATAGCGAAATGTTGATTTAGTGAATCCCTCTTGTCTTTCTCTTGTCTTTGTTGATTTCCTGTTTTCAAAATACATGTCTGTCAAGTACAATAAGGAAGCTCGCCAAATTATTTTCTGTGTTTACAAAGTGTGTGTGTGAAGAAAAAGACGTTGTTTGGCCGCCATTTTGAATTTATAATGAAGTAATTAGCGACATCTTAAATTACCGAATTAGTTCTTTCGCTAAAAAGACATGCTTGTGAAAAAGACATGTTTTACAGTAATTCACGCTCTGCAAATATGCAAGGACGCTAGAAAAAGAACAACCTGAAAGGAACACTACAACTTTCTTGCAGACTCGCTCGATATTTACATGTATATGTAAATTATCATTGCATATTTGGTGACTTGAAATATGTGATTTACATCGCATATCACACCAGTTGTCTACCTCATATCTTATAAATTCTTTCGCATATCAATATCACATATCTCACACCCATAATATTTATTTATGGTGTGGGGAATGCAAGATACTGTTTTATTTTTCAGTTCAGAGTCAGGTGATACCAGCGGTGTTACACAGCATAAAACATGGCATCCATACTGGTATTGGAGGCTATCGTCCAAATGATTTATGTGTATCTGCTCCGACTGGTAGTGGTAAAACTTTGGCATTTGTTATTCCTATTATTCAAGTAAGTATACAATATAGTGATTGACAGTGATTTATAAAACAGGGAATGTCACTTTTAATTAAGGAGGTTCCTGTGAAATTGAAGATTATATTTCATCTTTTCAAATCTTTTATTATTATGGATTAATGGCATTAATAGAGGTTATCATGACTATTTTTTAAAAAACTAGAGTCAGAAATATGATGGGGGGAAAATGGAATATGTCAAAATTTTACCCTGTGACATGGGAAAAAATCATATATTATTATTGTTATAAATCTTAATATTGTTAAGACATTTAAAAAAAAATCACATTTAATCAAAGAAACTACTGGTACAAAATACTTTTATACTTTGATTTAATGTACAGGTAGTGTGTTTCCAGTGTGATAATATTTTACACAAAGGTAAGGTTTCTCAGCTACATGTATATGTAGTAAGGATAAAGCTCAGTCGTGCAAACTTTGAATTTAGCTTCAACTCTCTTAACCTTTTCACCACCAGTTCTTTATTTTTATCACAAAATAGTCCCATTTATAGTCTGCACTTTCCTTCTTTTTTTAGTAATAACTGAAAATTTACACAAATTTGTTCTGTTGACTTTAAAATTTGGGTTCCTTTCCAGAAATATTGAAGAATACTGTAAAATGAATAATTTTCACTGGGTTTAAATTTCACTGATTTACAATTTCAGACATATTCACTGTGTTTTAATTTAGCGCATTTCTTCAGTCAGCGAAATAAGCTAAATTAAAACCCAGTGAATAATTACCCTCTTTACAGTATGAGAAAAAAAGTACAGAAAACATAAGAAAAAAAGTGCAGAAAAATTTGGGCAAGAAAGTCGGGTGCTGAAAAAGTTGAGGATAATCGTCAAAAGCTATCTAGTCAAATTTTAAAAGCACTTACAAATTTTTACTTTGCTGATTGACAGGTTTCAAATAGAAAAAAAAAGAAATAAAAATGGCTATGATTTCCCCATCATGGCGTTAAACCAATTTTCAATGTAAAATTGACCAAAATGTGTGCATAATTCAGAAACAAGTTCAGGTACCCCTAGTTATTTTTTTCAGATTTGCAGTCATTGACAAATTTCCAGAAGTTCCTATGTTAAAAGTTAGGATTGTCATCATTTAGACCAGTCAACAATTTTGTAAGCCATTTTACTGTCACCGCCATATTGTTTTAAACACCCTAAACAGCAACTTCTCTGGTTTCTGAATGTTTTGCTATGCGTGTCTCAAGATTGTTTTGTGATTTTGGGTCAAATAATCAATAGTCAAACTAATTCAGATGGACTCATTAAATGTCATTAAATGTCAATAGATGATGCATTTCACTATTAATTCATTTCATTCAATATGCTATATACCAAAAAATGTAAACAAAATTTGTGTACTGACTTGGTCTTGCACGTCAGGAAACTCTTGCTGGTCAGGTTTACAGGAGTGAGCATTATGCTATAGAGAGTTGATGCTGTAGTCATCCATTATATTTTACCTATTTGCTAGTTATTATGCCAAATAATTATTAAAAAGTGATTTGAAAGTTACTACAAAAGCTGCCTTCTCTCAGAATGAGATTGTGTTACACTGTTGCATTTTGTCAAAGCACCTCATAAAAATGAGTTGATCTAACCAGTGTTAATCATTGCAAACCAGTTAGCAACTTAACTAGCCTGACGAGTTTGCTTAGCTGGCAGTTTTGCTGCTCTAGTGTAGGAAACAATAGGACAGTAATCACCTAAGTGAAGTTTTGTGAGTATAAAGTAAATATCACAGAATTTTTTGAAAACTGTTTATAGTATCTCTTTCCTACTTATTTCTATTTATGCAGGCATTACTGAATCGTGTAGTGTGTCGTGTACGAGCATTAGTTGTATTACCAACCAGAGATCTAGCCACGCAGATACATGAAGTGTTCACATATTACAGCCAAGGAACCGGACTCAAAGTGGCACTCATTGCTGGACATGGAACATTTCTACAAGAACAAGCATCATTACTTAGGGAAAGGTATTTGAATTATTAAACCATTATCTTTGTATCTGGGAGGTATGTAAGAGTAGTGAAGTCTATTAAATGTTAGCTGCATTATTCCAAATTCGTAGCATTTGTTTTTTGTTCACTCACACTTATTAACATTTTTGAAAAAGAGCATTTGCTACTAATTTTAAAAAGTACAGCCCACACTTTGTGCACGCACATAATAGATCCCCCGATGGAAACCTCTACAGATAGCGATATATAAAAGGTATATAATGTTGTCAGCAAGCATTAATAGATTTCACAACTCTAACAATTCGGGAGGGGGGTTGACAGTTAATACCTTTGATTATTTGTGTTTAAGAGCTTGTGTGTAAATCATGTGTAAATTTTCTTTTACATTTTACACATTCTCTAATAGATTGTTTTACTTTCACACACAAAAAAATGGCTTTTTTTTTTTGCATTCAGTGACAACATTAGTCTTGCTGACATCGTCATTTCAACACCAGGCAGACTTGTTGATCATATCAATAAAACTCAAGGATTTACATTGCAGTATTTGAGATTTTTGGTAAGTATAAAATCATAATGAGGTCATTCGCAAATAGTCGCAGAGATCTTGTTGAGTTTTCTCCTCAAATAGTGTTGATTCTTTATTTTCATCGCATTCACTGTTCAAAATATTGTGGTTACATAGACATGACAGAAGAGAAAGCCGGGTAACGCTTTTTGAAAATATGATGGACTCTTATTTTCTCGTCAAATCCAGTCATTGCATCTTACCCAAAGCTGCACAATGAAGATGTAAGATCTGGTTTATACAAAAAACATTGTAGGTTTACAAAATTTGTGAGATTTACAGTAGCTGTTTTATTATGTGTGAGGTAATAAAATGACGGTTCACAGGTTATCTGAGAGTTTCAATTGTGGTTTACCTGATTGTATATAAACACAACTGTAACGGTTTATAAATTGCATAAGGACAGACAGACAAGACAATGTATAAACCATGTATAAACCAAGCATACTTGGATTCATATGCAAAGTGTAACTGCTACGGATAACTGTACACAGCTTTGTAAATAGGCATTGTCTTTAATCTACATACACATGTAACAACAACATTACTTGTCAACCGCTATTGACCTTGCACCTAGGCTAAGACTGTAAGCTCTCGTCAAGGTGCAATATCTGCAGTTGACAAAGAGATATGGGTCATACCATTACCAATCTCAGTGAAAACTGTAGAGGGGTGTCAGGGCTACATTTTGATGGAAATTATAGTGGTGATAGAGTATTTTCCTCATCTATGAACAAAAGTTGGCCAAGGAGTTAAAACCCACAACATTAATCACAGCAGGTGGGGACTCTAACAGCTTAGCTATTACAGATTCTAATGAATTTTTTGGGAAATGGACACCCTTTTGATTGTCACATTGTTGCGTTGAATTATTCATGGGCAAATGACATAGCTTAAAGACAAGGACGGACAACCTATCCTTGACGGAGAGGGTCAGAAGAAAAGATTGGCAGAACATTTCGAGGAACTACTGAATAGGCCAGATCCACATGACCCACCAGACATACACCCAGCTAACCATGATTTGGACATTGACTGTAGTGTACCTTCCAAAGGAGAGATTCGAAGGGCCATAAATCAGCTGA